GTAAGAAATATTATTGCTCGTAAACTGCTATTGTATGGATATTGCAACCTTCGTACCCATCTTATTCTGTATATTCTACTATATCACTTACTTGGTTTTCATTATCACTACTGTGTGCTCACTTTGCTGCTTAGTAAGTTCAATCTTCATCAAACTAGTTTGTTGATTGTGACTTCTTATCATATTATGTTTAATTTAAATAATTTATTTTTTCATTCATGATGATTTATATAATTTTATAATAGACGATGATAAAAGTCTCAAAATAATTCATGATCGATCCATAAACTTCGAGCACGTGTAGTCAAAGGTGAACGCAAAAGGTAAAATCGAAGCTTTAACCTTATCTTCTGCTGCCTAGTGGAGATTGCACTCAAAGTCAAACCTCGAGAACTGTTGCATCTTCCCATCCCTTATTGCAAATTGGCCAAACTGCTATTTTGTAGATGCAATAAAAGAAGTCTTAAGAGTCTCTCTCTTCTTAGAGACCTTCGAAACACGAGTGTCGTTCATGTGAAACTTGAAGACTATTTTCCCAATCAAAGGGAGATCTGAATGTAGAAAATAAGAAAAATGATATTCTCATATTTATTTGTAGATGCTTTTTTTTGCCACCCCAACCTACCCCCACCTGCACACCATTAAGAAGAAACTGACCTGTAGTAGAATCTGAGGCAGACTGGGATCAGACTTCATTGGCGCCGAGGTGGCCTTGGTTCCTGTTCCTCTAAGAGTAGGAGAGATTCCTGTAGCCTATTGTAGGACCATTCAGAAATCCAAGGTCTCTGACGAGCACCTAAAACCTACTTGAAATCAGACATTTCCTTTCTTTCGCTACCTTCTTCTGAGCACTGAATTAATTGTTCACTTCTCTCTTAAATATACTGCATTTATAGCAGAAACCTACACCAGTCCCAACCTGCACCAGTCCCTGAAGAGCCTAGATGTTTGACTGACTGCAAAGCCTAGGGCGCTTGGAACTTCTCATGACCAACTTGGCTTAACTTGGAAAACTTCCGCATTGTTCTTGTAACAATCGGAAATTTTCTTATTGTTTTGTTCTAAGTTTAGTGAATTGGGTAGCAAGGATGCTAAAAGGTTCCAATCTATGCTGTAGAGGCATCTACGTGGATTTAGCCCAATTCTAAACGAGCCATACTAATGTTCGATTAATTCAGGCCAGATGTGGTTGAATTCCGCCCATTAACAGGTGGAATTGCTGCAGCCAGGCTGATGGATGTGTGTGTTCAATAGTAATACTTTGGTCTTCGGTAGAGTTTAGTACATATTGGATCTTTCCAGTGGCCGAAGAACAATTACTTTCAAGAAATAAAGTCGAAATTTCTTATAGCATCATCCACGAGTGTCACCCGAAGAAATGTTTATGCATGGCCAAGTCCTGGTGGTGGATGGTGGAACAGAAGTTGCCCTTCTTCTTTTACGTACAGACTCATCGTTGGTTTACCAGAAAGAGGAAGCATGAACTTTATGCATGATATTCTTTGTTGATTCTCACCAAGTTGAGCCGAAAAAATACCTGCTGGGTTGGTTCAATTAACTAGTCGACGTCAAGAGAATGACTGCATTTTATATATCTAACAAAGTTCTGTAATCTTCGAGTAATGGATGATCAGAAACTATATATTTGTTGATGGTTTAAGAATCAATGGAATGAACGGTAAGCTAAACCGTTTATATGAGCGTTCATATTTCATAGTCGGCTCGCAATGTTTTCTACTGATTATATTAAACATTATACACACACACACACACACTCTCTCTCTCTCTCTCTCTCTCTCTCTCTCTCTCTCATATGAGATTCCTACGAAGAAAACTACGTGTAGAGCCTCCTAATGAGTGAGCGGAACTTCCTGTTCCTACTTACAATTAGGCTTTATGAAGACCTCATCTTAAGGACAGATGGCACTGCTGCCTTTCGTTGCGCCTTTTGAGAGCATATACATATGCTTTACTTGCTTCCCGTTATGGTGCGGGGAGGTAGATAGGAAGGAGAACCATTTCCTAAGAACCCTAGGAAAGTTTCCTTTACCTTAGCCGTGCGAGCCTAGCAGGCTTTATGGGGCAAGTCAACATAAAAGTTACAGAACAGGCTTTACAAAAGGGAGCTTTGCGAAGAGAGTCCTCTCCTCGTGAGCAGCTTCACAATGATAAGCATACACAGCTTGACACCATGGCCTTGAGATGATGACGATGATGAAGTACTGAGCTTTTCTATCACTCTTCCATCTTTTCTCTCCCTGCTCATGATGATTTAGCTAACAACATCACGTCACACCACACGAACTTTAGCTTAGGATTAGCTTTTTTAAGGACATGCACAGACAAAGGCTATTTTGGATAGTGGAAGAAAGGTCGTGGTGCAAAATATCTGTGGTTCACAGGAAGACATGCGTGCTGCTAAATTATTGTAGTGTGTGTGTGAGAATCTCATCAAAATGGACTTCACTTTTGATGGGTAATGGAGTAGTAGCTTTTCAAAGCTGGATTTTGCGCTGCTTTTAAAGCAAGCACCCATGCATGTCCACAGCTAATTCCACTGTCACGAATCTTACGCCTTTCTAAGTATGTGGAGCGAAGTAATCAACTAAGCATGACTTCTAGAAAGAAGATAACAAAGTTAATGGAGTGTCCTCAAACTAAGCCCCTCCTACTTCTCTACACATGCTTGTTTATATATGTGCCGGTTTAAGAACATTTACCGTCCTAAAAGTGATTCATTCAAATGCGTTGAGAGAATAATAATATACTTCAATCATTATCATGAACCTGAGCTGGTTCCGCCTGCTACAAAAGCAAGCATTTCGGCAAGTGTTGCGGCGGTAGCTGTTGTGGCGTGGCACCGAACTTCGATTCCATTTCATGTTGGGAATTACTGAGGTAGCTTTTCATGGAGGCCATCATCCCTGTGGGGCCGATCCCGAACTTGTGTCTAGTGCGGTTCTCAGACTTGAGCTCTCCAAGTGTTCAATGGTGGAGTGGTCCAAATAAAGTAGACTCGGTGGTTTTGGCAGTGCAATGGAACATTGCACCACGTTCAATGGAATTTTACTGTGTGAGAAGGAAACCAACACTAAGGTTTGAACTACTGCGACTAAAAGGTGAATGAGGTGGAGACGACGGCAGGCATTCCTATTTTTTTTTCTTGTCAGTGATTGAGGTGTTGGGGTGATAAAGCATTTCTTTTATCTCTGAAGTCAAGAAATTTCAGTAGAAAAAATCTCTAAAAATTAAAGATTGATTCTTTTATAAATATCTCATACATCTTATTTAGACTCGATGAAAAAAAAGAAAGAAAATGCTTTGAGTATTCTTCGTTTCTCTCTAAAATGTGTAAGAAAAATGATGTAAATTAGGGGTTTTATACTTCTATCTCACATGATGTAAATTTTACATCCATTTTTGCTATGATAAGATGACTGAGTAGCCTTTTGCTTTCGATTCTTATCTCTCTCCCATACCATATGTGTCGATTCTTCCTATGATAGGATGACTAATCGCTATGGCTTAGTCAACGCCAACATGTTGGACTTGTCTGAGGTATTCGATCATAGCAGAGTCCAGTTGGGCTAATTAAAATTCCTCCATTTATGAAGTGAGTGGGGGTGTTATTCATCTTAATCGATACCATTGCTAGCATTTAAACCACATATGGATGCACAACATGGACGACGATACATAATGACGGGGACTTGGTGCCCGCGACACCAAAGTCAAAAGGCTACTCATGATTCCGTGAACGGGACCATATAATATGATCCACCACCCAAGAAGGATATTAGCTATGCTTTTCTTTAATTGCATCACTTATGACCAACAACGAAGGTGGCGTGTGAAATCGTAATATGTTTAATTAATCCTAAACCGTGGGCCAATTGATCTTAATTCGCCCGATGTTTTCTCAAACGGAGATGAGAAGATATAGAAATGGAGAGGAGGAAGTTGACTGGTAGAAGCCTCCTCGTCATCTTGATCTCTCAAGCTCGATGTATGTGATCATGGGAACCCTAAATTATGATTACTACACATCGAAATTCTAGTGATTAGATGATCGACATGTAGTTGGGAAACTCACTAAAACGATTAGGTTCTTTCTTTCTACTGTGGAAAGAAAGAATCGTATTATCAACAAAATGTACAAACTAAAGAATCGATCAACCTCACCTTCTCCCACCAAGACATATTTGTTAGAATAGCGAATGCTTCATTTTCAATGCACAGAAACCAGACATTGTCTTCTATATATCTTACCTATTTCCAATTATAAAGCTGAAGGATTAAGTTTCGAGCGACGCTCAAGTTCATCCGGAATGGCAGCCACCGAAAGCAGCTACGAGAGTCCTTCCAAGGCCAGGTTTTCTTTATGTAGAATCGCATGATGTGTTTGATGGTTTCATATGATGTATTTATTCTTACTTTACCCGATCAATCGAGGCTTTGTTCTTTCACCCCCGCTTTGATCGCTCGAGTGGGGGTGGATGTGGTGCCGCGGTGGGCGTCTGAACTCTTCGAGAGTGCCACGAAGAGGAAGGGAAAGGCATTAATGGAGTAAAGAAGACATTTATGAGCGAAGGGCCATGTCGAAGACCATACTCGCCGATGTCAGGGCACATCCATGAGGGCAGCCGTTCCCTAGTAATCCCCTCCTTAAATGTTGCCTTTGGGTTCTGTGCCCTCCGTTTCTCACCTTCCTCTTTCTCCGCTTCATATCATTCCGCCCTCTCTCTCTCTCTCGCCACTTTGTATCTGTTGAGGGATCTCCTCCCCTCCTTTCAACGCCAGCTTTTCCTTCTCTCTCTTCTTAATTTACTTTATGTAGGGGCTCGTGGTTGGACGAGACAGCGAAACCCATTCCTTCTGCCTTATGTCACTAAACTGCCCCTTACAGTGACCAAGGTAAGGGAATCGATTGAGGAAACGGCAAGGGCTCTGAGTATTTGGTATAGGTGACGCTGCCAATTTAGCATCTCAATAAAAATAAATAAAGTTTGTGCTATAAATGTTACACTTTTATTTTTTATTTGTCTTGAAATTTTAATTCATTCAACTCGGTCGTCGATTCCTCGACTCGAGAAATGCGTTTCCCCAACAGATGGGGAATCCCCCGGGTGGACCAAATTACCAGGGTCAAATCCGGAAGTCAAAGGCACCCAATCAAATCCTTTAAATCACTTTCCATTTAGCCGTCCAAGGAAAACAATTCCCCTCTCCCTTCTTCTCCTCCCTTCCCAAAGGTCAGACCCTCACCGTTTCCTGTGGCAGCTCCCTCTGTAGGTGATCACACCACCTCCGCTACCCATTTTCTCCTTTGACCGCGTCCCACCGCCGCCGTTGCCGCCCATAGTCTCCTCTGCCCATCCGGCTTCCTCGTCTACCAACCCTAGTTTAGGAGTATAAACCTCTTTCCGGCCTCCGAAACTTGGTTCTAAGATCTGTTCTTTTTGGTGGGGTGAGAGCGGGGGAAGAGGAAAGGCGGGATCTTGATCTTGTACGCCACAAGATTCTTGAAGAAAACCGCTGAGGAAGAGGGGAGGAGGTAGAGAATGGGGAGTACGTGGAGGAAGGTGACGAGGGCGCTGGGTCTGAACCTCTGCGTCCAAGTCCCGAGGGAAATGCTTCACGACGACGACGGGGGGTCTCGCCCCGGTGGGTCCGCCGCCGGACGCAGGGCCTCCGTCGCCGCCTCGAGCACCACTTCCTCCCCGGCGGGGTCGGTGGGGGCGTCGGATTTCCGGGCCCTGATGCCGACGATGTCCGGTGGCCTCCGGCTATCTAAATCCGGTAGCAGATCGTCACAGGTTCGGTTCTCGTTTCAACCCCTTCTGTTTCTTGATGATTTTTCTATCGGTTCTTTTGATTCAGGCGGATTCATGTGAGAGTTGTGCATACAAATGGCGATTGAATGCATGTGTTCGCTCCTCCTCTAAAGAACTTTGTTTAGTTTCTTGCTCTTTTCAATCTTATGCAAAATCTTGGAGTCGGATGCTCATTTATTTGCTTCCGTGTCTCTTTTGGGCGTTTCTTTTGTTGGTGTCTCTGTCCTTTGAGGACCAATAGCATTTGGCACGCGAAAAGAGAAAGGTCAAAACTCCTCTTGTCTTTTTCTATTCGAATGCCTTGATGCCTTCACAAAAGGGGCAGTAGACTGCTTCATGTGAAGAATTTTGTTTTGTTTTTTGGCTTTTACTTTTCTAAAACAAGTCTCTGTTGATCAATATTGGAAATGGATTTGTGGGTAGACTTTGTAGCAATTGTGCTGGTTTACTTAGTCGAACTTTTCTCGATTAGCTCATTGTCGTGTTCTTTTTTTCTGACTTTGTCCGGAAATAGAACATTATGCCTGTTTCTTAAGCCATCTGATGTAGAAATTGTAGCAGAGTTAAGCCCATGATGCGTTGACCAGTTGATACTTTGGCTTTTGTGTAGCTTCTATATTAGAAACGGCAAGAACATCTAGAAGAAGAGGAAGGATGAAAAATGTGCATTCTCTTTTGAATTGTTCATCATTGTTTACAGAAGAGGTCATATGGTTTACTTTTCTCCTCACCATGTTGGTTTTTCATTTTTGAGATTTTTGGTTGATTTCCTGTAATGTTCTGCTATTAATTTAGCCTCAAATTAGCTTCAGCGAACTAGTTCTTCTTAGTTTGCTCACTGCTGTAGTTTGCTGCTGCTCCAGTCTTCTGACATTGATTTGAATGGTTTGGTTCAGAAATGTGCTATCTGCCTTGGATCGATGAAGGCTGGAGATGGTCATGCACTCTTCACAGCTGAATGCTCCCACACGTTCCATTTCCATTGCATCACGGCGAACGTAAATCATGGCAACTACGTCTGCCCTCTCTGCAAAGCCACATGGAAGGAGATCCCTCTCCAAGCTCCCCAGGCTCTTGGGCATCCTCATCATGGGAGAGCCAGGGTAAACCCAGTCGTGGAGGATGGTCGTATGCATGTTGTACGCCGGCTCCCTCGTGCGGCTTCCGCAAACAGGCGGCGCAATCACTTTCCTTCTTACTTTTATGGTTCAGAACCGAGCAGTTTTAACGATGATGAGCCTCTGGATCTGCAATCTGCAGCAGCCAGAGATCTCCGTCAAGGTCGTCCTGAGATGGTAGAGGTCGAGATACATCCTGAATTCTCAGCCATAGCGCAATCTGATTGCCTGGAGAACTTCGCCGTCCTGATGCATGTGAAGGCTCCTCATGCTACCATGAACCAGAGCCCCCGGTCGAACCTCACCGCAGGCTCTACTGTGCTGCAGAACGTTCGTGCTCCGGTAGACCTGGTCACGGTGCTGGATGTCAGCGGTAGCATGGCGGGCACCAAGTTGGCGCTTCTCAAGCGTGCCCTGAGTTTTCTGATCCAAAATCTTGGGCCCTCTGATCGCCTTTCAGTCGTTGCCTTCTCTTCGACGGCGCGCCGACTCATCCCCTTGTGCCGGATGTCTGACTCTGGCCGACGACAGGCCTTGCAAGCCGTCAATTCTCTGGTGTCCAGCGGTGGGACAAACATCGCTGAAGGCCTCAAGAAGGGGTTCAAGGTGATCGAGGAACGGAGGGAGAGGAATCCAGTGTGCAGCATCCTCCTCCTCACCGATGGCCAGGACACTTACACCTTATCCTCGAGCGGCAGTGGAGCTCAACGCTCACAACCGGACTACAAAGTACTTGTTCCGTCCTCCATTCTCAGCAGCACAGCGGTATCTGTCCATTCTTTTGGTTTTGGCGCGGACCACGACTCTGCTGTCATGCACGCAATTGCAGAAATTTCTGGTGGCACCTTCTCCTTTATTGAATCAGAGGGCGTGCTTCAGGATGCCTTCGCACAATGCATCGGTGGCATCCTGAGTGTGGTGGTGCAAGAGTTGCGGCTGGGCGTGGAGTGTGCACATCCTGGAGTACGACTAGCTCCCATCAATTCCGGCAGCTACAGAAACCAGTTGTTGAATGATGCTCGGACTGGATTTATTTACGTGGGCGACCTTTATGCCGACGAAGAGAGAGACTTCCTGGTTTCGGTGAATGTGCCGTTCGCCATCGAAGAGATCGTGCTGCTCAAGGTTGCCTGTGTCTACAAGGACCCGGTTTCGAAGGATACTGTTCATTTGCCGATCAGAGAGGTGAGGATCCAAAGGCCACAGGTCGTCTCGTCTCAAACTCCATCAATCGAGGTCGACCGCGAGAGGAACCGCGTCCAGGCCGCCGAGGCCATGTCAAATGCGAGGGCTGCAGCCGAGCGAGGTTTTCTGTCTGATGCAGTTTCGATTCTGGAGGAGCGTCGGAGAATACTGTCGGAGTCCCTGGCGGCGCGGGCGAGCGACCGATTGTCCCTGGCTCTGGATGCAGAGCTGAGAGAGATGCAAGAGAGGATGGCAAGCCGACAGCGGTACGAGGACTCGGGGCGCGCTTATGTGCTGTCGGGGCTGAGCTCGCACTCATGGCAGCGAGCAACCGCGCGTGGGGACTCCACCGACGGTTCCAGCCTCCTCCATTCTTATCAGACGCCGTCAATGGTCGAAATGCTACACCGTTCCCAGACGCTGCGCGACTCACCCCGGCGTCCTGCCCCACCCATCCAGCCAACCAGGTCCTTCCCATCTCGGCCACGACCAATCTAGTGACGGTGAACAATTGCAAGGAAAAAAAGAGAAAGCTACGGATTCGATGGTATACGTTTTCGTGGAATGAGATGGAATGAGATGGAAAGTGGGTGGAACGTTGGTGTAGGGTTGCAGGGGAGAAGGTATAGGTATGTTGCTTTTGGTTTCGGTGTTGTACATAGGAGAAGGTCTTCCTTGAAGACGATTGTAAGAGGTATTGATCTCTGCAAATACTTGGGGGTGCATTCTTCTATCTGAATCGTGTAGCTGCCTGGGTCAGATACTTTCTTCTCAAATCTGTGCTCTCATCTACTAGTAGTAACCTTTCCCTTTGGCTACGGTAGATGGTTCCGCCATGGCTCTCCTGCAACATCAGTTTCCTTCTTTCCATTACAGTATTGCAGAACTCAGTGTCTTCATTAATCATTTCAAAAAGGTCGAAAGCTTGTCAGTGAAAACACAAACAAATTTACCTCCTACAAACAAATAAGAACTGACCTTCCAAGCTAACCAAAATATATAGCCTTATCCTGACTGAGACCAATAGTCATTCCCTCAAGAACCCAAAGAACAAAAGGAGACTTCCAGATTAAGCTCAATCAAAGACAAAACATCTCTAATGAACAAGCACTAGAAGAAAGGTGTAGCACACAGTCGGAATGCTGGTGGCAAAGAAAACACACACCAGCAACATCAATGTCTTGAGAATTAAGGAAATCTAAAGTAGACAAGTGGTTAAGTGATAACTTCCAATAGACAAAAAAAAACGAGGAATAGTAGGTAATTTCCAAAAATATTTCTAATCAATAGAAGGTGAGGGAGATGGAAGTTAACTGAGAACTCACGAACGCACAGATAGACCTGATTAATGATTGGCGTTGATGATCGGTCTTCAGATTCATTTGTCATCATTAGGCTGATGAGATAACACTATATCCGATATCATCAAAGAAACCACAAGACCAAAACAAAAATCTATCATATCAAAGTTGAACGCACCCACACTAAAGAACTAACAATGTTGCATATTATCCGAAACTTTGATATGATAGATTTTTGTTTTGGGCTTGTGGTTTAAGATTTATAGGGGTCTCAAATAACTAATTATATTTATGGCTCCATGGATGAGGCCATCCCTTCTAATGCAACAATAACTACAACAAGCATAGTACCTAACACATTGGCATGAGGGTAGGAAGGATGGTTCACCATAGCTGACATTTGTGTAGTACGCTATCATAATAGCATCTTCTCCGAGGAGAATTGTTGCCCGATCATTGTTGCCGGACATAGATCCATGGGCCATAATAGAATCCTCTAGGGAAGAAGGGTGATGGATGCTAGCCACATCAGAGCCTTCCTATAGTTACTTCGATGACAGTGCAATTGTCTCCTTGCCCATAATTGAGGAGCTAATTGCTGCACCATTAGGACATTCAAAGTTTTTATGACCAACACAACTACATTGAAAACAAAAAAATGATTGTGACCTCTCCTCTACACTGCTGACTTGGATGTCCATACGTGGATCGCCACTTCATTGCAATGATTTGTCACGCTCTCTTAAACCTATTCACTTTGCGGATTTTGTTCTTTTTTCTATGTCTGTAATCCATGAATCCAGGAATCCAGGTGTTGACAGGATGGTGCGTCCAGCTTGTCCTCGCGTGCTTAAAGAAGACACAACTGGAAGCTTATCCCATGTTTACCCAAACTGGCATCCCACAAAGCTCATTATCGAACAGTATTCGGCATCATCATGTACGACACAAAGCAAGATTAAAGGCTATTTTGTTGAACCATGTGGGAAGAAATAGTTGGCGGTGTAGTCTCCATCGAGGAAACGATCACCTTCCATTAGCATAAGCTAATACGCACTTATCTCTTTGCTTTTCTCTGGTGAGATCATGGCTAGCCTCAACTAAAGCACAGCAGGCGCGTGGATGCGTCGTAAGGAGTCCGTACTCACCGAGTTCCTCCGATCTATCATTTCATCCTCGGACTTGTCAAGATATGGATGTGTCACTCGCACTTAATCCTTGAAAAAGATTTAATGAACACGCACTGCAGTCAAGCTCTATCATTTCAGCATCAGACTCGACTCGTGCCACACACGCACACCATAATGTGGCCAATCCTAAAAGACACCTAAATGATAGCTAACCCAATGCTAAAGTTTATGCTTCTGGAAAGGACATGCCATCGATCACTATCGAGTACGGTGTAAGCATGCTATCATACTCGTGCTTCGTCTTTTTCTCATCACCGATCGACAAGGCGAAGGCTTATATATAATCAGATATTCTCGATTGCTCCTGCTATAGTGGAAGTTACGGGTGAGGCGATGGATGCGAAGTTTGGCTTGGGAACTCTGGATAATGAGGGCTGGAAGAAGGGGCCGTGGACTGCACAAGAGGATAAGCTCCTCATGGAGCATGTCAACCTCCATGGTGAAGGAAAATGGAACTCGGTCTCCAAGTTGACAGGTAATCGATCGCCATGGCTCAGTTACTCATCTTTGGTCTCTATATTAACTACAGTTTTCTGCGTTGCTTTCATTTCTTACGTGTTGCTGAACTTGTTGTTCTGCTGCTGCTGCTGGTTTTTGCACTGCAGGTCTGAGGAGGAGTGGGAAGAGTTGTAGGCTGAGGTGGGTGAACTACCTGAGGCCTGACCTCAAGAGGGGGAATATTACTACACAAGAGGAGAACATCATTCAAGAGCTGCATGCCTTGTGGGGAAACAGGTATTCACTGCCAGAAACAACCATTTCTTATGTTGTCGTCTTCATCTCCGTGTGTGTCCGTGTAGGTGGTCCACCATCGCCCGAAGCCTCCCAGGGAGGACCGACAACGAGATCAAGAACTACTGGAGGACCCATTTCAAGAAGAGCAAGCCGTCAAAGAACGTGGAGAAGGCGAGAGCGAGATTCCTCATCAGGCAGCGGCTGGAGGACCAACAGCACCAGGACGCCGAGCAGCAACAAGCGGACGTGAGAGCGTTCATGGAGCAAGCGGAGGAAGCCACACCGGTGGAAGACATGGAGGAGATGACCTACTTGAACTCGGTGACCTTCATGCTTCCGGGCGGCGGCTTCGACGGCTACCTGAGCGATGGCTCCACCGAGGAGGGCTCGTGGGGAACCCTGTGGAATCTCGCTGACGCACCTGATGACACATAGGGCGGTTCTCGTGGCACTTCTCGATGTCAAGTACTCGAGTCCTTGCTGACAACAATACATATTGGAGAGTAATAATATATGTTCCATAAAGAGATTAGAACGAGGCTGAAGCATATCTTAGAAACATGTGGCCCGAGATCTCAAGCAACTTTACTTTGTGATGCCACTTCTTTACTCATTAGAGTCATTAAAATGACTATGGTGGGATGAAGTACGTTGGAGGTGAATGCAATTGATAAAGACAAGAAGCACTATCAAGTACTAACATCTTTAAGCATCTTTGCCACTCAAAAAAGCTTACTAGAATATGTATCAGTGACGATTAAAGAACCAGCACCACAAATATGAAAGCACGACGGGTCCAGCCCAGTCACCCATCGGATCCAATCATGTTTGAGTCCATATCATCCATCATATTCGGGTTTTTGTATATCATATCCACTTAGAAAAGGTTCAAAGTTTGGAGTGTTATTTATGCTTGAAATATTAGTTTAGTTATGGCATACAATACCTATGTATCCAATTAATTTTTAAATATATTAATTAAATTTTTTTGATGGTTACTAATGATATCTTATGCTCACATCTTAATTTTATCTCTTATCCTTTGAAGTGGGCCAATAGTAGCTTGATGCATAATTGACACCAGTATGGAGCATATCACATAAAGAAGCACAAGATACACCCATGCAACTGATCTAATTATTGTCATCATATTTGATCAGGTGTAGAAGCATGATTTCACTCTCTCAAGTGCCAAGTCGGGGAGAGCTATGGGAACGTAAGGACACCCATGGCACACAGTTCGAAAAGCCCCGAGCTCATGTTGCTTCTGTCACACGTGTCACCTCCGTGCCGACACAGCCACCTTGCTATTTAGGCTCCCATGCATGCTCATCCCCACCCTGCCCGAGAAGTCGGCGAGCATCTAAGGATGGTGAAGTAAAGCTTTTCTTGTAGCCGTCTTCTGTGCTTTTAGAGCCTTCAAGGAGCAGCGGTGGAGTGTTCGTCTTCCTCTAGATGGCTCAGACGCCGCTGCTGTTTCTCAACTTCATAATGTACATAATCGTGAAAGGCTTCGCGAGCTGGAACCTCAACCACTTCATCAATGGCCAGAGCAATTACCCTGGGAGTGTTCTCCTTCCCTTACTAGTTCCACGTCATCGAACTATGCTGCTTACAACAGTAAACTTAATTGATCCATTGGGCTATGTTGTTGAATGAACTCGTGAGTAGGTGTGGCGGGCGACGGTGCGACCTTCTACTTCCTAGTGTTCGCAATTCTGGCCGGCGTGGTGGGAGCAGCCTCCAAGCTCGCCGGAGGAAACCACATAAGACCATGGAGGATAGCCTTGCAGCTGCGGCCGTTTCGTCCATCATCGCAAGGGCGATTCCCACCTTAGCTTTCGGGGACATAGTTCTCTCTATCATCTCCGGGAAGTAAATAACAAAGCCGACAAGAGTCGAAGCTGTCGTGAGGTATGAGGCTACATATCAATCCACGAAGGAGGCATGAGTAAAAAGCAATCCACTCATGAAGCAAGTCTAATGAGATATGTAATACATAAGAAATAAATTAGAGTAATGAAATAAAAATAGTTATTATTATGATTTGAACTCTAGACCTGATTGAATTAAAACTATATGACTAACATATATGATTCTTTAGAAATATTTCATATAATATGATTGATATATCATGTCTTTCTATATTATTATGGTATAATAGTTGATGTATCATTCTTTAGAAATATAAAATTGATGGTGATGAAGCCGATGATGTTGCAAATGCTCTTAGAGAATTAAGGTGGACTTGGGTGCACGTTTCAATTTTGACCTATATGAAGACCAAGATCAAGTAGGTTTCCTAATTCAATTTCTATAACATTGAAGTCAGTCTCAACAAAAGTAGAGTAGATTTAGTAAAAAATAATTAACCTTGATTGTTATGCTTAAGATATTTTTTTATTTTAATATGTCAATTATGTTTGTGAGTACAAGTATGTACTAGGATTCGCCCCTAATGAGACATAGACGAAGATATAAACAATAATAAGATGTATTTTCTATTACCCGCACATTTATGAGTGGGGATATGTATAGGACCTACCCTACTAATCTCTATTGATTTATATTATTATATAATATAATATTTATTAATAATAATATAAATAAAAATATGCATTTAAGAATTGAACTCAACATCTATAACTCCAACATTAACCATTAAACCAATTTTATATTTAATTTTAATATATTTAAAAATATAAAAAATAAAAATATTCCACCAAAAGTTTAAGACTGATTATGGGATGAAATGTATTGTATGAATATTAATTCGAGTGAAAATATTTTAATTTTTATTTATTTAGTATTAATTCTTAATTATTATTTCTTATGTTATAATTAATGTTTAATAATATATTCAAAACATTGTATTCGAAGATGATAAAGATGATTATAAGATAACTAATATATATATTAGTTTTAATAATATTATTTATTTTTAAGCTTTTGTTGCTATACACTTTATACTTTTTCTTATTTATGTAAGATTCATCTTGCATGCATATACATGAGCAAAGAATTGAAAAAGTGAGATTAATAAAAAAAATTAATTTATAAATTTATTTAGATATATTTATATTTATTTGATTGTGGTTATATTTGAATATATTTGGTTATATTTATATATGAATATTGTTATGACATGTATACTTTGTAAATATTATTGTTAATCTTTAAACTATTAATTAGTTTTGATAATAATTTTTATAAAAATAAATTAATTAGGACAATTGAAAAAGACCTATGATTTTCCTACTCCTAATGGGGATTCCTAATGCCTGCCTATTTAAATGGGGAATGGGGGTGAGGATGAGATATGGGGGAAAAGATTGAGACTAATGTCTTGCTGGATCAACATCCCTACTTTTTATAATGGGTATTTTACGAAATGTTCCTAGAGAGGACATTCCTCAATTATCCTTTTGGACTAATGTCTACATGACCCAGTTATTGATCAGGTTTTGTCTCCTCATTGTTGACTGTATTACTATATATTCTATCACATGTTAAGTTATTATTGGCATAGAAGATTGCCTCTATTATACATGACACTAGTTATGTATAAATAATAATTATTATATGATTATATTAAAATATATATATTACTTGATATTAATTTCATTGAATATTAACTGATGAGCTTTATAATATGAATTTTCATATCTAGATCGGTATACTAAAACACTATATAATATGTACTTGCATCACTATTGATATTTATTGATGATATTGATTACCGTCGTTCAAATACTATTGGTAGGATGATTTAGTTTAGGGATTTAGTGGGTTATAGACATGACAACTAATAGTCTCCTTCTTCCTAGAAAAGGAAAAATATATTTTCACTTGTGGCCAGTGAAAGACGTTACACTAATGAAAGTATAATATAGACCCTATTCCATTGTTATTGGATAGTTATCCATTCGGAGTTCTAATGAGTTATCGATTGATATAAGTATGTCGATAAGTGACATATGTTATGATATTTATGAATGTTTCATATTGTTATTGTTATTATATTATATCTTATTAATTAAATAATTTATTTAATTTACTGTTCATTTAGTATACCATTTGTTGTTATCATTTTATTTTATATCTACTCAGTAATTATTACTTAATCATATTATTTTTAAATTTTTTAGAGCCTCAAGCTTCTACAAAATACCAAAATAGAAAAAAATACGCTTGTATAAGTAATAAAACTTTTATTATATTTTTTATAGGTATACAATTACAACAGTAAATGTTTTGAAGGTAATATATTCTTTATATGTTGCATTATGATACTTGTTTATTACCAAGTCTTTCTATTTAAGTAACAAGGTATAAATACATGGATACAATGTCTAAGCCTTGGCATTTGCAAAGCGAAGGTTTGAAGTAGTTTTCGACTAGGAAGTGACTATGTTACAAAGATTGTCACAATTAATCTTGCAGTTTGAATATGAGAGCTGGTGAATGATTGATATGTGATTGACACATCGAGCCTACGTGGTTGACACGCTAATCTTTGGGGGCTATAATAACCCCTCATGATCGACATCATGTGTTTCGAGCTTGGATTAAGTTAATAAATGAATGCTCGAGATTCGACACAATGTATGCCATTATCCCAATTCGACACAACGATCATTTCCATGATCATTGTTGATTTTGGGAGTAATAACCCTTAAAATCACCTATAAAAAGGGTTTCTGAATTGTCGGAGGAGCATTGGGGAACACCTCTGACTTAGTTTTATAAGTTTACCTTTTTCTACCAGTAACTTGGACTAAGATTGACACGAGAATAACCTCCGTTAGATCTAAGATTATCTTTAACTTGAACCACAAGAATTTATACTAATAGATATCGACAACGTATAGTTGAAAAGCCAAACACTTATATCAATGATGCATAACTAAAATGCCAAACATGCACATAAATGACATGCAGTAGAAAGAGCAAACATGCATATTGATAATGCACACCGGAAATGTTAAATACGTATATTTGATGATATATAATTGAAAGGGTAAACATATCAACAACATATAGTCGAAAGATCGAATATGCATATTGATGACGCATAGTCAAAAGGCTAAATTTGTAACCATAAAGACTAATTCATATATCAACAATGCATAACGAAAAGGCCAAATGCGTATATCGATGACACCCCAATCGAATGCCAATCATCTCTCATATAACACCCATAGTGTTGATTGAAGTCGCTTCTCGACTCAATAGTGATGCATTCAAACAAGCCAAGAGACAAGGGCCTAGTGATAGGTGGCAAATGACATGATCAATAGTTTATTATCATATGTCTACACGTGGTTGACACGTCGATCACTCGAGGCCACATTAGCCACACACGACTGACAGATGGTAGATGATCCTAATGGCTATATGACTATATGGCCACACCTCCAGCTCCCAAGGCCACGTCGACCCCGTGTGGTGAAGGCTATGTTTTTCCAGCTTGGATCAAGTTTGAAAATATATACTCGCAAGAATATTATTACTTCACGGTAAAG